CGGAATTGGAAAGAGAAAATACTGGGGGCTGAGCTGGGTCATTACAGCATTGAATGGTGCTGTGTAAAAGGCATAGCCAACAGTATGTGGACAAGTTTTGATTTGCTAAAAAGGAAACAAGGTAAAATAGCTAAATTTGCTTTGAGCAAATTTCTGTCTCCATCAGAATCAAAACAATGAATGTTATTCTTTCACCTGGTAAGAGTTTAAATATGCATTGGATCCAATCCTATTAATTACTTCTTTAAAATTCTTTTAAACATTTTAATCTTCCTTTTCATTTCCACCACAACCATCCAAACCCCCATTACAGGAAGGGTGAATTATTTGACTGCCTTTCTATCTTATCTTTGAGTCACCATTCCCTATTTCAGTCCATCCAATACGGCAGCAGACACAGCAGTAGTCATATTAATAAAAATCATAGTTATAAGAAAGCAGTATGATAAAGCAATATCCCCAAGCCCCAAGGATTGGTAAAGCCAACCTCTGCCACAGTGACAGTTCAAGGATTAGGTACATGACCCAAGTCAATCAGAATTTTTCCCTGACATGTGATAGAAACTTAGGGGGGAAAAAAACCTCTTTTCCTTGATGTTGTTAACGTGGAGCTACGTGAGGCCATGGCCCTCTCTGTGGTGCCCAAACTATCTGTGGCCATGCCTCCCTCTCACCAACAACTTTTGCCTCCCACACCACTGGGGAAAAAGAAAAGGTTCATTTTCAGTGGGAGAGAATGAGCCCAACATGTAGAAAGAAGGAGAGAGAGCGAGAGAGTGAGATTGAGGAAGAATGTGCTAGTTGACAAGATGATATCTCCAGCCCCAGGGATGAATCACGATTCATGGCTGTCCTCTTCCCCTCGGCCAGTGATTGGTCTAGGGACAGGCTTTTGACCAACTCTGACTAATGAGATGGGATGTGATGCCTGCTTGGGGGCTTTCCAAAAAGATTATTCTCAGTGATAGGGGAGTGGTAAGAAGAAACGTACTTTTTTCTCTGTCCCCTTCCCTCTTACTTGTGATCCTATCACGTGTGATCATGAACTTAAACACAGACCACTATCTTGTACCCAATGGGGGGAGCTGCTGCGAACACATCAAGGGTGGCAGAATGGAAAGGTAGACGTGGCGTGGGTCCTTAATGATGTGACTGAACCACTCGACCAACACTGGAATCCCCTCCTTTCAGACTTCGTGTGAAGGCTAATAATTGAATGTCTTTGTTACTTACGCCACTCTTAGTCTTGTAGTCTACTGCTTGTACTCACATACTGACTTGAAAACAAAACAACTATGAAATTGTACTCCTCAAATTACCTCAAGTGCAGCCTTCCCTCTTGAGTTTCAGATCCAGCTACCTGCTAGGTGTTAAACCCAGGTGTCCCACGGATATCTCAAACTCAGCAGATCCCAAAGCCAAATTCATCCTCGCATTGAGCAAACTTCCAGTTTGTTCTATCCCCAGGATGCACCCCATTCACCTGGGTACATAAGCCAGGTACCCGAATCACTCAGTAGTCCTCCTTGTCCCTCACCTACCTGTCCACTTAGCCAGTTACATCTATTTGACCTTCCCATCAGTCTTCTTCTCTCTGATCCCACTGCCACTGTTTAAGTTGGGAACACAGGCTCATCATCTTTCTCCAGGGCCACTGCCTCCTAAGTGTTTTATTTGCCTTTGGTCAGGAATCTCTCCAAAACTTTCTCTACTAGCTTCTAGCATGGTCCATCCAAAGTGCATCTCTGACCTTGTCATTCCCTTGTCTGAGATTAGTTATGGCTCCTCTATTGCCTAAGATACTAGTTCTCAAAGTGTAGCCCCTGGACCAGCAGCATTAGCATCATCAGGTAACTTGTGAGAAATGTAAAATTTGGGGCCCTGCTCTACTGAATCAGACACTCTGCAGATAGGACCCAGCTCTCTGTTTAAAGAAACCTTCCAAAGGAATCTGATGTACGTCGTTTAGAAAACACTACTGGCCTAAAGCAAAAGAAACCCAATTTCCTTGGTGTAGTAGGTTGAATAGTATGCTCCCTGAATGCATGTCTACTTGGAACCTCAGAACGTGACCTTACTTGGAAATAGAGTTTTTGCTGAGGTAATTAGTTAAGAATCATGGGTGAGATCATCCTGGATTTAGAATGGGTCCTAAATCCAGTGATTGGGGTCCTTAGAAGAAGAGAAATAGAGGGGAGGGCCATGGGAACATGGGAACATGAGATTGGGACTCTCCTGCCCTGAGCCAAGGACTGCAATGCCTGGGGCCACCAGAGGCTGAAAGAGGCAAGAAAGAATTCTTCCCTACAGTCTTCAGAGGAAACGGTGGCCCTGCTAACACCTTGATTTTAAATCCCTAGACACCAGAACATTGAAAGAATACATTTCCATTGCTTTCAGCCACCCAGTTTGTGGTCCTTTGCATATTAGCCCTAGGATACCAATACACTTTGCATAGCAAACAAGGGCCTTTAGGACACCCCTGTGCATCCGGAGTCGCTGCTCCCTGATCAGCGATCTATCAAAAATATGCGTGGTGCGCCTGTTATGTGTCAAGCCCCAGTGATGGAGCCGTGATGAGCGGTGGCAGTGCGGGCCCTGCAGAAGCTCCCGGCCAGGGGGAGGGGCTAGCAGCTGCACAGGCAGGTGATGTTTGACGGATTCAGTGCTCTGCAGGGCAAGAGCCTTCTTGTACCTCTCTGCACGTACTCTGGCACCATAAAGATTGCCCTTCTGCACCTTAGGAAGCCTCTCCCACTCCTTCCTCCCACACAGAATCACTCTCTCCCCTAAGTTTTGGACGTGTTTCTATTAGTGCATTCGTTGCACATCGTTGTAATTGTTTACTTGTTTGCCTCCCTTGCTAGACTGTGAGCCATTCAGAGGGCATGGACTGTGCTCTTTTATTCCTCTTTTTATCAGTGGTGCCTCAAACAGCACCTGGCTCATGGGAGTTTCTTTTAAAAAAATGTGTTGAACTGATAACGAGGATGAAGAGTGATTTCCTTCCTCGGTTGGCAGAGGGACTCGAGCTTACTTTTCTCCATGCAGCGCTAGGATGAGTTGTGGGAGAGACTGCAGCCTGGGGTCAGTGGAAGGGGCAGAATGGGGCAGTTCCCTGGACTGCTTTTGGTGTCAAAGGCCCTGGAGGAGGGTGTGGGACTAAGTAGGCTTTAAAAGCCATCATCCGGGCATCTCTGCAGGCTGAGTGATGGGAATGGTTCAGTCAAAGCTGGGCACAGCTCCAGCCTATGCCTGTGAGAGGCTTTTGCTTCAAAGTTGATTTTCTTTCTTTCTTTTTTTCCCCAAAGTTTATGTATTTATTTTGAGAAGGAGCGAGGAGCAGGGTAGGGGCAAAGAGAGAGAGAGAGAGAGAGAGAGAGAGAGAGAGAGAGACCCAAGCAGGCCCCACACTATCAGCACAGAGCCCAATGTGGGGCTCGATCTCATGAGCTGTGAGATATGACCTGAGCCAAAATCAAGAGTCAGATGCTTAACTGATTGAGCCACCCAGGTGCCCCTCAACACTGATTTTCAAACTTGAGTGTACATCAGAATCACCCGGAAGGCTTGTTCAGGTGCATTTGCTGGGCCTTCACCCCAGAGGTTCTGATTCCATAGATCTGGAGTGGGGCCCAATAATTTGCATTCCTAACGGATCCTAGGTTATTCCAGTGATGGCCTGGGGTCCACATTTGGGCACATCCCTGCACTAGAGGAACACATGACATAAGACCCATCGTTCTCAACTTTGGGTACATTAGAAATCAGTTGTGGAGTTTTTAAAAAGTACAGATACAGGAGAACCTTACTCACACATTGGTCGGGGCGGGGGGTGTAACTGGTCATAGGGATTTGGGCTCCAAATGAGTAAAACATTGGTTTGAGTAAGCCTTTCCCATAAAACATAATGAACTGATGAGTTGATCACACGTTTATTGAGCATTTGCTATGTGCCAGGGTTTGTGTCAGTAATGGGGATACAGAGATGAACAAGACACCATCCTAGCCCCAGTGAGCCATCAGTCCAGTCTGGGGAAGATGTGTGAACAGCTAGTTCTAAAATCCTGTGGGAGGGGAGTGATGACATTGTACACAGAGTAGCATGGAAACACTAAAGAGGAGCATCAGATCTAGGGGAAGAGGAGGAAGCTCAGGATCGGGGGTAAAGAGGAGATAATGTTCCACTTCAACAGATTTAGAAATCCCAGTAGGTTAGCATCTAGTTGGTATAATGTGAAGAATTTCTACCTAAATCCAAATGCATGCTTCACCTCTCCTTGGTCAAATTACCTCATCTCTCCGTGCTTCACTTTCCCCAGATTGCAAAGGGGATAATAATCCTGTCTCCCTCACAGAGTTGTGTGGACCAAAGGACCAAAAGGACACATGTACGTGGGGGACTTGGTAGAGTGAAGGGCTCAGAGTTCATGCACACAGCCCGGGCCCCCAGAGCAGCTCACAGTCTAGCAAGCACTTGAGAAATGTCAGTTATCCTCATCATCCTTCCAGAAGGCCCCCTTGAAGCCTCCAGTTATGCCCACCATCACTGGGAATTTGAGTTCTGGCTGCTGTACAGCAGGGCAAGCATCTGCCAGATTCCATCCCCTACACCAAGTGGCCAACCGCCCCGCCCAGGCTCCTACAGCGTTAAAGCTCTTGTGTCAGTTTTTCAGTTTGCACGTTCTTCCTTCCATTGGTATATTTGTCCTTGGCAAACTTTCCCCCCACGTTTAAATGACTTTAAAATGGGGGTGCCTGGGTGGCTCAGTCGGTTAAGCGTCCGACTTCGGCTCAGGTCATGATCTTAGAGTTCGTGAGTTCGAGCCCCGCGTTGGGCTCTGTGCTGACAGCTCAGAGCCTGGAGCCTGTTTCAGATTCTGTGTCTCCCTCTCTCTCTGCCCCTCCCCCATTCATGCTCTGTCTCTCTCTGTCTCAAAAATAAATAAACGTTAAAAAAAATTTAAATGACTTTCAAATGACTGCTTTTTATCTTCCAGAGACAAGAAACCCCTAAAGCCAACATTGTGCGTGATTGTGTCTCAAATGCAGCCAACTTTGAGTGGGAGGCTTGTTTTCAAAGGAAGAAGGTATGCTTTAGTGCATGTCCTGTTTTGACATCAGAGGCCCTTTTTGTTTCCTTCTATACCCACGGTGGTGTTCAGGACTAATTTGGGGGGATAAATGATTTCCTGATAGGAGAGGTAGGACTATGTGGTCTCAGTTTCTTTCGTGGTTTCTTTAGGGTTTGAGAATCACACTTCAATGCACACTCTCGGTTAAAGCCATACTTACTTTATCCCAAACTCCCAGTCACATTTTTACTTCCCTCCAGGGCCTACCTTCTTTCCCCAGGCATCTGGACCTATTCCCACCTTGTGTGTGGCTCCTGGGTGTTCCTAATCCACCTGCCTCGGAGCTTGCCTATTCATCTGCTCCAAGTCCCAAACTGTTTTCCATTTTAGACAATATTTACATTGGCTAAATATTGGCACAAGCAAGTCATAAAATGTGGCATGCTCACAAACACCGTGGCAGATCGCTGAGCAGATGTTCTAACATTTACAAGTTGGTTTTCACTTATGGACATTTATAATGACACCTGCTTTCATTGGCGGTATGCTGATCTGTTCTTGTAAGAATAGTGTTATGCTCCAGTTCCGCGTTTCTCAAACACAGCTGCACATTTGGAACCACCTGGGGAGCATTTGCAAATCCCAGTGCCCAGACCAACCACCAGACCAAGTAATTCAGACTCTCTGGGGGTAGAACTCAGGATTCAGTGTTTTTTAAAACTCCCCCGGTGATTCCAATGTGCGGCCAACTGTGAGCACTCATTCCCCAGTTTAGTGCTTCTCAGACTGTACTGTGCATAAGAATCACTTGACGATCTTGCTAAAACGCAGATCTGATTTGGTAGGTCTTCAGGAGCTTTGGGTTCTGCATTTCTAACAAGCACCCAGGCCATGTAGATGCTACTACTAGTCCAGAGACCACACTTGGAGTAGCAAGGCAAGTCGTGCCTAGTGCCTTGAAAATAATTTTCCAGAAATCATTTGTCCTCTTGAGTTTGGTCCATGGCTCCCTCCCTATTGCTCTGCCCATACGCCACAGCCACACTCCAATGGCGAAGGGATTTCACTATTGATTTCAATTTTCTATTTTCCTCCAGATAACGATTCTTCTGAAAACAACCCACACAAGAGAAGAGTCATCTGGCTAAATCTGAGCAGATTTTCCTGTGGATCTTATTTTTCTGTCTATGCACAAAGCTCACTGAGCACAAGGTCATGTCCTCTAGGCTAAGCAAACTCTTTGAATATTGCTTGATTAGCAAATGATAGTAATCGCGATTATTACTGCTCCAAATAGGTTAGTCACAAACACGATGTCTTCAGTTGAAAAGAATCATTAATGATGGCAAAGGGATTGGGGGGAAGCGCAAGACAAAAAAGTAAATTTTCAATTCTCAGAATTGGCTAGGAAGCCCTCTGTATCACAGCACCTTGGAAAATGTAATTTCCTGGCCAATATCCTACTGGCTTTGGAGTATTGTTTGTCAAGCATCTGTCTGTGCATCCTGGTCTGTGGATATATCCTTGGGACTTTGTAACTTTCCTAGTAGGCTTTTAAAATATGTATTTACTGCTGGTAATAACTTAAAAACTAAATATAAAGCATACTGAGTCATTAGGATGACCAAGGCTAGCACATGATTTCAACGCCTGCATTTGTGTTTCTATTTATGAATGTGTATATGCCGAATAGCCATATTTTAATTGTTGCAAGCGAATGATAAAAGAACAGAGAACAGAGGGAGGTTTAATACAAAAATCACACATTTTAGCCAAGAGAAGGCCCGATTGTTTTATAGGGAGTCTTACAAACAAAAGTTGCTCAGTTTTGGATAGAGAAACATAATAGTAGAACTAAGAAATCGTGCACCACATCATATTTTAGACATGCTGCAACACAGAAGAAACCACATTATAGCCATCAGGACCATTTTAATATTGAGTGTAGTCATTTAATCCCGGCAAAATAACATGGTCTATTATGCTAAATCAATAACATGCATTTATTTGCACATTAGCAACTTGTATTTTACTAGTATTTAATTTTATATATTTGTTTTGGTTTTGTAACTGCTTCAAAACCACCAGCATTGTAGTTTGAAGCTTGTACATGTTCAAGTAACTTTCTAATACGAGTAATTCAAGTCATTACCAGGACAGTTTTCCGTCCAAAAAGGTTTTGCATTTACTTATTTTGAAACACAGTCTTAGAACATATTCATTCCTTGTGCAATGTTTAATTCCATTAGTATTTTCTAAAATGTCCTACTGGCCATGCTCTCCATTGTAAGGCACTGTTAAGGGGACACCGATGGGAATGGAAACTGAGCTCCTAGATTACATTTTTACATTAGCTACAAACATTGAAACAGACGTTTGTTTGTGTGGGGAAAGATTTCTTTGCTTGGAAGTAATGCCTGATGATGACATTTTCAGGCCAGAGGATTGTGGAGGACCCACTGTGACAAGTCATTGGTGAATAATACTGGGCCCACGAGAGAGCCCAGTCATACCTATGATTTGGAGGGAAAATCAGTGCTTACAGGCTGTTGGGCCTCTGGCTCTCCATTCCCTGGTGCGTGGCTGAGAGGCTTCACGGCTGCCGAGGGTTGGATGTCCCCTTTGGGCAAATGTTGACTACCTTCTGAGAGGGAGTAAGACTGGCTCTGAAGATTCAAAAAAGAGATACATAAAAATGCTAGACCACTCACACAAGCCAGAGGCCCCATGGGGTTGACATTCAAAAGATGAAAATGTCCTCCTGAACTGCTATGGCAGGGACCACTTATTCCTGAGGCCCTCAGCAATATCTTAAAAGTAGGCTTCAGGGGCAGCTGCGTAGCTCAGTTGGTTAAGCGCCCGACTCTCAGTTTCAGCTTAGGCCACCATCTCACGGTTTCACGAGTTTGAGCCCTGCATTGGGCTCCTGCTGACAGTGCAGAGCCTGCTTGGGATTCTGTCTCCCTCTCTCTGCCTCTCTCCCACTCATGCTGTCTTTGCCTCTCTCAAAATAAATAAATAAACTTAAAAAAAAAGTAGGCTTCAGTTTCTCTGAAAGATATACTGAATGTAAGGCTCATAATCTTGACCGGCAAGAAAATGTTATCTACAGAAGATTTTAAATATAACACCTCCCCAAAGAAGATATTTGTAGGCTTGCAACCATTGAGTGCAAATTTAGTTTATAGCAAAGGGAAAAAAACCTTCATAAACAAAGCAATAGTTTACAGAACATTTTTGAATTTTTTTGTCTTTGCTTCTAGTTTATATACAATAAGTCATTTCTTGCCAGGGGAAGCTACAGTTGGTGCAGTAAAACCTTATTAAAATTTTTATTGCAACAGTTTTAGATGTACATTTTTCAATGTAAAAAAAAATCACAATTTAACTCAGACCTGCCTTGTGTGTCGTTGGTTTCAAATCTTTAGTCATTAATAGTTTATAGACACAGTATTCACATGAGCGTAGACATTTCAGAATAAAAACCTAAATGTTAAGTCCATTCCTTGGATATCTGCAAATATCTGATTATTTGATGCTGCTTAGAACTAATACTGCTTAGAAATAATATTTTCACTTTTCAGTCCAAGTTATATGGCCTTGGCCTCATAGGAGTACTTTTGCCTTGGTTTACGGATATTTGTAACATGAACCTGTCTTCCCCACAAAACTCTTATGGGCAGAGCCTACCAGATTTTATGCAACTTTGCTATAACTAACAGCTTTAATCATACATTCCACAAACACGTATTAACCATTTGCTCTCTGTGGGGCACTGTTTACTATCTTGTTTTAAATACTTCTCTTTAGCCTCTCCTAAGAGATTTTTGACCAATGGAGAAAAAAATATATTCCAAATGCATTTTAAAAGCATGGTATGCTGTTGTGAAAACCAACAGTAAGGAGTAATCACAATGGTATAGTGCAAACTTATTAATCATGATTTCATAGTTTAAATTTCTCCACATGCTAACTAAAATGAAAACTTTGTTTGATTCCCAAAGGCAATAAATACTTACATGACGATTGCCCATTTTCGTTTTTCTAAGATAGTTGTTCTGTATTTCATTAAGAGAGCAGGTCTCCTTCAGGCCAAGTTTATAATAGTTTTCCCAGGGCGTAATATCTCTTGTGTTTAATAAGTAACTTTTGGCATTGAATTTGAATACATTATTGGGGATGGGTAGGGTAGGGAGTGGTGAGAGCTACAAATGAGCTTAAGCTTCCCAAGCTACTTTGTAGACCATCTTTTTAAAATAAAATATTTATTAATACATCAAGTATGGGCTTTTTAAGTTGAATAGAGAGCTGCTTTTCGACTAAAGGGCTAAACCTGTCTCACTTCTGGATTATTGAAAGGGTCATAATTTGTTTATTTTGGGTGTTTATTTAAAATTTTATAGCTTGTAATAATAAAAGCATTAACCGAACAAGACTGAAAAATCTTACCGTTTTACTAATATCACCATTATTATTACACAGAATCTCTTTTACACAGAATCTTTTTGAGGGCAACATTGAGTTATGTTAACATCATCTTTATAATCTAGCTGGGTTTTGAATTAAAAAGTAATATGTGCAGATGGTAGTATTTTTTCTAATAGTGTGAAAAGGTACTGTGAAAAGTAAACCTACTGACTTCCCAGGCCCTCCTCCCGGTGGCTTCTTGTGAGTCCTTCCAGAAATTGTTTGCATACACAGCCATGTCTGCCTGTCTATTTACCTTTCTTTCTTGTTCTTTCTTTCTTTCTTTCTTTCTTTCTTTCTTTCGGCTGTGTTTTTTTGTTTGGTTTTGTTTTGCTTCGTTGTCAACACATGGGTTTATACAATGCATTCTTTTCCATGCCTTGTATGCTTCATATACTAAAGACATAATATGACACGGACACATTTCTTTTTCAGTGACCACATAGTAGTTTACTATGAATATGAACCAAACCTTACATCATCAGTCCACTCTTCAAAGTCATTTTGGGTTTTTTGTGTATTTTCATTTATACATCTTTGCCTGTGTGTGTGTGTTTATCTATAGAATAAAATCTAAAGATGTAATTGCTGGACAAAGAGTAAATGCATTTTCTGACGGATCTTGCCCAGCTGTCCTCTGCACAGGTATTGAAACATTGAACTACTCTCAAAGTCCAGCTAACCCATGAGCCTGACTTCATTTTTTAAAATTAATTAATTATTTTGTGCGACTGACTTTTTTATTTTTATTTTTTTTAAATGGTTATTTATTTTTGAGAGAGACAGACACAGAATGCGAATGGGTTAGGGGCAGAGAGAGAGGGAGACACAGAACCCGAAGCAGGCTCCAGGCTCCGAGCTGTCAGCACAGAGCCCAACGCTGGGCTCGAACTCACCAGCTGTGAGATCATGACCTGAACCGAAGTCAGACGCTCAACAGACTGAGCCACCCAGGCACCCCAGAGACTGACTTTCTAAAGACAAAATGTATATCCCCCTAAAATAATATGCCAGTGTCCATATTTTTCTACATACTGGCCACACTAAATATTATGAGAGTTTTTCATTTCTTCCAATTTCAAAGGTGAAAAATGGTTATCTCAGTGTTTAATGTACATTCCTTTCTTTTGATATTCTTTTTGTTTCTATATAGCATCATTTTAATTTTTTTTTCTGTAAATTTTTACTTAAATTCTAGTTAGCTAGCATATAGTGTAATACTGTTTTCAGGAGCAGAATTTAGTCATTGATCATTTACATTCTTTTGATATTCTTGATATTATATATCACTTCCCTTAAAAGTCATTTGCATGAATTTTTCTGTGGTCTCCTTATGTCCTTTATTTTTATTTTGAGTTATAAGTCTTTTCGTTATTTATTTATAACAACATTTTATAATAAGATCTAGGCCTTTGTCAAATGTAACAATTATTTCCCCCCAATTTTTTGTTCGTCTTTTGTTTCTGTTTGAGTGTGTTTTGTGCATATATGTGTGAGTGCAAAAAGCGTTAGTTTTTATGGATGTATTGACTTGCTTAGAAAAACATCTCTACATTGAGATGATCAAAATTTCTTGTACATTTTCTTCAAGTTTTTTAATGGCTTCTTTTTTTAAGGCTTACATCTTTGATCCATTGTAATTGACTTGATGTAGAATAAGGAAAGAATGGATTCAGATTTAGTTTTGGTTATTCAATAAAGCCTAGATAGTTATTAAATAATTCATCGTTCTTCATCTAGCCCAAGATTCCATCTTTATTTATTTTTTTCAAGATTCCATTTTTTTATGCTAAATTCCCATATAATATAGTGTTAAAAATTCTGGTAGGTTTATTAAATTGTGATTGTATATATTTATACTTTTGTTCTTTCACCTTTATCTATTGAGTGCCTTGGATGTGCTAATTGGTAGAACTATAACGGGGAGCAAGATAGATTTGAATTTTCTCTTCCTAGAATATAGTCCAATGGAGGAGCTATTCAAAAAACAAACCATTACAACATATTGTACAGCCTGTGAAGAAAATCAACAGGATGCTATGATAGAGGATAGTGTGTGTGTGTGTGTGTGTGTGTGTGTGTGTGTGTGTGTAATTTACTTTAAAAAGAGGTAAAGCTCTTTAAGGAGATAACATTTAAGCTGTGAACAAAAGGATGAGAAGGAACCCATCATTTGAAAAGAGAGTGTTCTAAATCAGATGCTCGTAGTTTACGCTGAGGATCAGAAATAAGAAAGAGCTTTGCTAATTGCAGGAAAAGAAAGATGGTGAGTGAGGCTGGATTCTACAATGCGCCAGGTGGAGGGACAG